TCAGTAGCTTTTTTTTTTTTTTTTTTTTTTTTTGAAGCAAACCATTGATTCCACATGAGAGACAGAGGCCGGGGAATACACCTCAACAATACAACCCGGTACTTGAAACATGCTCGGGCCCTTACCCAGCTATTGGCTTCTGGAAACCGGGTCGAGTGTCCCTCCGCTAAAATGCTCCAAAAGTCAAAAGTCAAAATTAAAGGAAGCTTCTTGCCAAGCAGATTATCCCTTCTCAGGACTTACTGATACCTTGAAATATAGCAAGGGCTACCACCTACCTTCCTATTCTAGAAAGGAACTAGCCTGGAGCCCAGCAAACAATTCTCCACTTATCTCTAGAATGCTAAACCTTTTATCACCAAACAACATCGCCTATACTCCGTAGATATCCAATGTTAGAACCCAAAAGGTGCCTAAAGAGGCACATAAAACAAAAGCGCAGAGCATTAGCTGCTGCTAACTGACGGGGGCCTAAGAGGCCACCTGAGCTGATGAAGAAATCCGCCCTCTAGAACGACGGAGAAGCCAAGGGCAGATCAGCAATTTTCCTTCCTGAGAAATAGAGGCTAGCTGCCCCCCTGCCGCCCATGAACGCCGGAACCATGAAGGTCCCTTTCTTTGCCAATCCGCAAGAATGATAAGTCTGATCTGTGACTTAATTGCCCATTTCAGTTCCTCCGAGTGGAAGGATTCTTCTCGGAAAAGTTTCTGGTTAGTTAGGGGCTTGCCAGATTACCTGCATGATAACGCCCCTGCAGACCTGTGCAACGTAACCCCAGCCAGATTCACAAGTCATGGGGGTAGCAAGACAGCCTGAAAGGATCCACGTATCGGACCAAGAGATGCTGCCGCCCCCCAGTTTAGACCAATGTTTCCGCCACCATTGCCAGATCACTAAAGAGCAAGGGCAGTCGTTCCACAAATGTTTTTTTTTTCTTTTTCGTGCAAGTTGCACCAAATACGCCTGTAATGACCGGGCGTTCTATTCGGGTGAAGACCGTAGGGTTTCTCTGTCAACAGTGTCCTGGGGCAAGGTCCCACTTGCACGGATTAAGAGATTCTGACCATTGATCTGTGCTATCTACGGTCAATATCTCTTAATTCGTGTAAGTGGAACCTAGCCCCTGGACTCCTCGTGGAAGCCCAGTTTTTTTTTTCAAGTAGTGCCTAACGAGCCCCTACCTTCTTCGCCCGAATACAACGCACGGACATTACACCTGTATTTAGACTGAAAGATACCCCAGATGCATACAGCTCTAATGACCGTACGTTGTACTCGGGGTTCGACCGAAAGATACCCCAAATGCATACAGCTATAATGACCGTACGTTGTACTCGGGGTTAGACTGAAAGATACCCCAAATACATACGGCTATAATGACCGTACGTTGTACTCGGGGTCGGGGGAAGAATAAGCTCGGCATGCAGCATGCAGCATTTTTTATTTTTATTTTTTTTTATATTAAAATTTGGACCATTTCTCGATTTATGCGTGTCATCCTTGCGCAGGGGCCATTTGCTAATAATTACCCTTCTGTGTATCGTTCCAATATTAACGGATGTCCCGAAGGACCATGCAGCAATATTGACCTGAGAGAGGTGAAGGTCTGTCTGTGATCTGAAATGCTCAGTGCACTTGAGATTGAAATGCCATTGCCATTGATTCCCCAGACTAAAGGGCCTCGCTGCACTACTCTCGAAATGCGCAAAACGAGAGTGAATCTTCCGCCAAAATATGGAAAGGTACATGGCCATGATTTTTGTTTTTTGTGCAAGTCGACAGTAGTGCAGCCAGGCCCAAAGTCAAGGAACTGGAAAAAGTTGAAAACGCCGTCCTTATTATTAATTAATTTAAAAAGGAGGATGGGATGAGTGCGCACATCCACATCCACAGACGGGCATCAACGTTTTCGGTTCGTGTTGCGACCACGCTTTCTCTACAATTTTTTTTATTTTTTTTGGGGCTTTCTGC